TGACCTCCCCATAGCCCTAGGTAGTGAGCCCCTGAGGGCAGGGATGGGGCCTACTGTCCCCATGGTATCTTCAGCTGGCATGTGGCACTGACCTGGTACTCTGGATTCTCTCAAACACTTATTGAACGAATGCATGAGTGAGTGAATGAATGAATGAATGAGGGAGTGAGGGACTGACCAGTGCCTCGGACACAGTAGCAGGGGGACCACCCTAGTGGGGATTACGGGAGGTAATGGTCGCGGAGGCGCCCGCCCCTGAGGGGCTGGACCCTTTCTTCCCTCTCCTCCCTCCCCCCATCTCCCCTAACCTGGTGCCGCCTGAATGTCATGGCCGCCCCTCCTGCTCCTTCCCAGAGCTTCCTGGAGACTGTCCTATGACCGGAGCTTTGGGCTTCTAGAGCCGAGAACCTGCACTGAGGCAGAATCCTCAGGACACGCGGCTCTTCCTTCCCCATGTGTCCCCAAGCTCTGGGCCTGGGCTTGCTCCCTGGGTTCTTTAAAGGTCTGTGATGAGGTCTCACACCTACCTGTTAATGCGCCATTTCTTTCTTTTTCAGTTTTCTTTGGAACCTGCCCTTGTCCAGTTGTTCACCTGATGTGGTGGGAAATGAGTTTTAGGAAGCTGTTGACAGTACCGTTTGGCATCCCTGTGCTTCTAGAGATTTCTGGGGCCTTGGGCTGGGGCTCCTGCTGCGGACAGCTGCCTGCCTCCTCACGGCGGTCAGCTTGTGAGCCTGGCCACTTCCTCGCCCCAAACATGTGAGTGACCTTATGATCCTGGCCCTTCAGTGACCCCTAACAAGCTTCTCCGGTGTGTAGGCGGAATTCCTATTTTCAATAGCCAGGTTGTGGAGAAATTGTAGAGCTTCCACTTCCTTCTGAAAGGAAGACTTCCAGCAATATTTGTATCTTTGCTCCTGTAGAATCCAGGAAGTCGTCTTAGACCAGAGGAGGTCAGCAGGTGGAGTGCGGTCACCTAGGAGATGGTGCTGTGACGTCATGTGTCACTCAGTCCCACCCTCAGACTGAGTGCCCAGAGGGCTGGTCCGGCGGGGACATTCCTGGTCTAGTGGGGGTGGGGGTACGGGTGGGAAAACAGGGGCCAGGTCTTGAGGAGCTTTTGATGCCACGCTGCGGGATCTGAACTCTGTCCCTAAACCCACTGAGTACTAGCTGGGGAGTGACACGATCAGATGTGCATTTCAGGAAGGTCAGGGGTCATGGATGAAAGCTGCGTCCTTTCAGTCTTTTGTTCGTCTCACCGAGGCCTGGTGTCCACCTCAGAGCCAGCACATCACAACGCAGTGGTCGCTCTTACTGTGCCCGATACATGCCAGTGTTTTCTACTCTATTCTCTTTCTTTTGTTTTTCTGAAAGTGCTGTTTGCAACCATCCACATTGATTTCCTGTCTCCCTGAATGTTTTTGATCTGCAGTTTGAACAGCGCTGGATTGGAGAGGGGGAGGCGGGGGCAGGAGGCTGGGTGGAGACTACTGTCACAGTCCAGCGGGGGCGCGGAACGGCCGGCTCAGGGCAGACAGGGTGAAGGGTCCACACCACAGGCTTTGGCTCCCAGGGCGTGCGCAGCACCTTGAATCCCCAGGCTGAGCACATCCATCCTCCTCGGGAGATGAGGGGCAGCTCCCAAAACAACCAGATGGGGCTGGTTATTGTGCCTCGTTGGGGATCCAGAAGATGTGGTTTCATAACTCAGACACACTGCGTGGTGTCTGAAAGTCATTTCATTAAATGTCGAGTGGAATCAAAATAGAAATTACATCTTTGGGACAAAGCCCGTTGAGCCAGGAGCCAGGCATTCTGAATTGGAACCAGAATAGTCTTCTGGAAGCTGAAACTGTGGATCCAAGGCAGCCCTGTCTACACGGCCAGCTTCTCTCCTCTGGCTCGCATCTAATCCCCAGACTTGGCAGGTGGTCCTGGAGCCCAGTCTGCTTGCAGGAGTCAGAGACAGCGGAGGGGAAATGGTGACAACAGCTCACCGCGGCTCACACTCCTAGGTACCTGCGCTGTGCTAAATTGTCACGTGTATTATCTCTGATCCCCACGCATCATCTGGGAGGGACGCTTCTTGTGTTTGACAGCACTGAGGCTCAGGGAGGGCAAGGTATTGGCCTGAGGTCACACAGCTGGTAGAGGCAGCTGGGGTTTCAACTCCCAGGCCCACCTTCTTTTCTGGGTCCTTAGTTGCCTCTCCCGGCTTGCTCTTGGTTTTTGCAACTAGATGGCCAAGATCGATTAAATCTGAGTGTCTAGGGGAGGGACTTGGGCATGTTTAAATCTCCCTGGCAACCCTAATGTGCAGTGAGGGCTGGGGACCACGGCTCTGGAAGGCGGGAAAGAGGTGTGAGTGGACTTTGTGTCCGCCCTGGGTCGCAGCCGGGTTGTCCATTCAGCAGGTGCGTGAGAAGGACCCTTTTCTGGGGTCCTGGAGCCCCTCCCCTGCCCCAGGTTTGTGCTCATTCCCCCCTCCCCGCCCCTGCCCCAGGTGGGCCAGGTTTGGCGGGCAGGAGAGCTGGGGGGGGTAGGGGTGGAGCAGACCCCCGAGGTGCCTGGGAAGCCCAGAGGGGAAGGCGGGGAGGAGGAGGGGAGGGCAGCGCCAGGGCGTTGCTCCAGTGGAGGGGGGACATCCCTGGGCATTGCTTTTCTAATCCGTTACTTTTCACTTTTTTTCTCTGCTTACTTAAATATGTTTTAAGGTCATCAGTTTTCCTTTGAGGACCATTTTAACTGAATCCCCTAGGATCTGGTATGCGGTGTTTTCATTCTTCTTCTTCTACATATTCTGCACTTGGGGTTTGGGCGTCTTTGACTCATGAGTTGGCAGGATTTTCTTCCCTCAAGGTGGTAGCCTTCCCCACCAGGTTTTGTCATAAAGTTTTCGTTTTATTGCACTGTGATTAGAAAATGGTTTACATTATTTCTGCTTTTTGGAATTTGAGATTTTCTCCTTTTTACTTTGGAGTGATTTTCTTTTTCTATTTTTCCTTAGCTTTATTGAGGTACTATTGACATATAATCTGTGCATATTTAATGTGTACTGTTTAATAAGTTTGGACATTTGCATACACCCCAATCCAGCTACTGTCTCCATCACCCCCAGTTTCCTCACATCCTTTTTTAATTTCTCCCTTGGCTCTTCCTTACCCACACCCTGTCCCCATGCAGCCACTGACCTGCCCCCAGGCAGCCACTGACCTGCCTCCTGCCACTGTAGGTTAGTTTGCATTTTCTAGAAATTTATATAAATAAAACCTGATAGTATGATTTCTTTTTTGTCTGGCTTCTTTCACTTGCCATAATTATTTTGAAATTCACCCAGTGGTGTTTCACCAGGGTTCATGCCTTTTTAGAGCTGTGTAGTATTCCATTGTGTGGACATACCACTGGTGTTTGTCCATTTACCTGTCAATGGACATTTAGGGTTTTCCATTTTGGGGCTATTATGACTAAAGCTGCTGTGAACATTCATGTAGAAGTTTTTAAAAATTAATTAATTAGTTAATTAGTAATTTTTACTGACGTATAGTCAGTTTACAATGTTGTGTCCATTTCTGGTGTACAGTATCATGTTTCAGTCATACATGTACATACATGTATTTGTTTTCATGCTCTTTTTCATTATAGCTTTCTACCATGTTGAAGTTTGAATGGACATATGTTTTCATTCCTCCTGGGCAAATAACCCAGATGCAGGATGATGGCTGGTGATGCAGTAAGTGTGTGTGTTTCACTTTTAAGAAACTGCAAAACTGTTTTCCAAAGTAACTGTCCCTTTTCCATGCCCATGAGCCCATGAGAGCAACGTGAGAGTGCTAGTTGCTTCTGTAGTGGCCGGTCTTTTTAATTTGATCCATCCAAAGTGGGGGTCAGGTGTATCCCCCTACATTTCCCTAATGGCTGATGACATTGCGCATCTTTGCTAATTGTCTATTCAAATCACTTGTCGTATTAAGTTGTAAGGGTTCTTTCTATGTTCTAGATACAAGTCCTTTGTTAGATGTATGATTTGTGAATATTTTCTCCAGTCTGTGCCTTCCCTTTCCATTTTCTTCACAGTGTCTTGAAAAATCAAAGGTTTTTTAATTTTGGTGAAGTTGAACTTTTTTTTTTATAGTTTGTGTTTTTGTATCTTGTATAAGAAATTCTCTCCAACTCTAAGATACAAGGATTTTCTCGTGTTTTCTTCTAGAAGCTTGGTGGTTTTAGCTCTTATCTTTGGGCCCATGATCTATTTTTTAGTTAATTTTTGTTTGTGATGTAAGGCAAGGGGCTTGGGTTTTTGGGTTTTTTGTGTGTGTGTGTGTGTGCAAATGGTCGTCTTTGAGGTGGTTTCTAAAGGGAGAGATGGGATACACTGGCTCTTTTGCTGTGTCCAAGCCGCCAGGCCCTTTGCACTGGGGTTTCTTTAATGGGCAAGCTTACATTCTCCAACGGGGTGGAGTCTTGTGAAAATGGGAAGTTAAATTACAGAGAAAGAAATAAGCTAAATATCTGGCTTATCTGAGTGTCGTGTGTTAAGTTGCAGCCTGGCCACGTGAGACTTCCTGGGCTGGGTTTTCTTCTCTCTGTGACTTTGTTCTGCAGATGGAAGGAACTCAGTCCCTCCGTCCAGCCATCCGGTCAGCTACGAGTCAGCCCGGAGGAGTGGAGCGGACGCGGGCTGGAATCAGATGGACTGGATGTGTCCCCAGCCCAGACCCTTCCTGTCCGGCCTTGCTTTCCTCCGTAAAGCGAGGGTGGAGCAAAATACCTGGTTTCCCACCCAACACTGCTGTCGGGTTCTAGAGTTTTCCTCCACTTTTTCTGATCCTCTCCCCTCTTCTGTTTTTTTTTTTTTTTCCCTCCTGTCTTCTATTTCAGGCCAAAGTGTTTTTGCCTTGAAAGCTCTGATTTTCATTTGACAGGCAGCCACCCCAGAGCCATGGGCCACGAGCCATCGGGCCTGCCTTGAGTGACGCCTGTCCTCTTTTTCCCAGTCCCTCCAGCACATGAGATTTCCTCTAGGGCACTGCAAAGGTTTTTTCCGGAGCTGGAGTTCCCCAGTTGCTGAGCCAGAGTTACCTGACCCCCACTGTGTCCCCAGAGAGGTGTAATTATGCCATCAAATTCTCATTGGCTCTGCTTCAAGGATAAGGAGGCTGCTGCCCAGAGAGGTTGTTCAACTTGTACAAAGTCACACAGGTCATCTTCCAAACCAGATTGTCTGACTCCAAAGTCCCCACCCCACACTGCTCTCCAAGGACTTGGCTCCTCTGGCCAGGGTCTGCCTGGGCCTGTGGGAAGAGCCCTGAAGGCACCCCGAGGAGCCCATCTAGACCTTAGAAATAGAGCTGCTCTTAAAACTAAATTTCAAATCAGTCTATTATGTAACAGAGACGTGCACAGTCTTCTTAGAGGGTGAACAGCCCCCAGGGATACAAAGGAAGCTGAGTGAAGGCTGCGAGTAGAGAGATGGGCATGCTCAGCGGTGTGGCCCTTGGTGGTAGGGGGTCCAGCCGTGTTTTGTCTGGGATCAGGCACATCTGAGTCGTCTGGAGGGCTGGGGGACACCCCCCTAAGTCTTTTTGCCTCCTGGGAAGTGCTCTCCTACAGAAAGAGAGAACAGAGGTACAACAGCCCACCAGTTCATCCATCCATCCATTCAGTGACTACTGAGCCTTGACTATGTGTGAGGGACTGTTCTGGAGTCTGGAGTGCACTGATAGAATGTTGGAGGGAGGGGCTGCAATAGAAGAGACATCAAAAGGGAACAGGCAGTGGTCTTGGCAGGAGGCGGAGCCTGAGCTTCAGCAGCTTGAAGGGCCAGGGAAGCCCACACCATTGCAGGCAGCAGGAGAGGGGAGCCATGCAGGGGCCGGCTCAGGGTGCTGTGCCTGTGCCCCAGGACCCCCAGGCCCTGTGACCCTCTCCAGAGAGAGGACTGGGAAGACTCCATCTCTGGGAGAAAGTAGTCCAGTCCTTGTCACACCTCATTTACTCATTGTCATTAAAAGCATGGCTTCTGATTTATACATCAGCCATATAAACCTGGCTAATGTGAGTCTTCCCTGGAAGCCAATCTGTGCTCTGGTTCTGGCACAATACTGAGCTCTCTGAGTTGGGTCAGCTGAGGGTAAATGCTGCCTCAGGAGGCTCTTGGGGAACGACCAGCCGGTTTCAGCCACCAAAAACTTAGCAAGCAAGACGTCATGTTTAGTTGAAGCACAAAGATCGTGAAGCCTAGTGGTGAGAAGCCAGATGAATTCCTATCACCCCAGGCTTTTCCCGCCAGGTTTTCCCCAGCTTTGGCAGCCTAAGCCAGGACTGGGGTCATGCATGATGTGAGCTGGGAAGAGATCCACGTTATCTCTGCTGTGGTCTGAAAAAGAGTGTGGCTGGGGGCTGGGCCACTCCTTCCTGGTGTGGGAGGCAGTAGGTGTTGGCCCTGTCCTGGGCTCACCTGTCTACCTGCTGTCTTTGGGTTTCCTTACTCCGGAGGGTGGTCACTGCAGGCTGGATTCCCATAAACTTCATATATTTGATATTCAGTCTGCTCTGAAATGAGATTCTGGGATCCATTGTTTTTGGAGGTTTTGACAGGATGCACAAGGAGCCAGATAAAATTGAAATAAAGTTGCAATCGCTGAGTTAATGACTGTGACAATAAAAATAATTCAGAACCAAATTAATGCAACATTAGGGCTCATCATTATACTAATAATCTTCACACAGCAATACAAAAACAACAATTGTTTGGGGAGGAATGATTCATTCCACGGGAGAACAGAGTTTTGGGAAAATCTCAGAATTTCCTTCTGCAGTCTGAAGAGGGAGAAAGGCAAGCTAAGGTTTTCCGACTTACTGTGACAAAGAGATAGTCCCTGTGCTTAGGGGTCACCCAGCTCACCAGGTGGGGGGGACAGCCTTAAATGACTGTAAAGCGAAGTGGCCTTGAGAGGAAGAGGGCCATAGGGAAGGTTTCCTGGAGGCAGCAGCATTGAGCAGAGGAAAGAGGAGTAGCATCCATTGGGTCTCAACCCCTCCATGCCTCCCTCTCCTCTGCATCCAGCTGCAGTCTGGCTTTTGTCCCTTCTTCACCTCCGAAATGCTCTTATCAAGTGACCTTCACGTTGTGAGCAGATCCAGACACGGGCCCTAGGTCCTCATCTTCCCTGACTCCCAGCAAGCTTCCACGGCCTCTGGGTTCCCACCAGCATCACTGAACCCTTTTTCTGTCTCCTCTGCTGGCTCTGCTTCCCTTCTGACCTCTGGACACCTGCGGGCTCCAGGCTGAGCCGTCCCTTCACTCCTCCCTGTCTCCCAGCTCCCTGTCCATCGCATCCTGGACACTCACTGTCCACTCTTGACCCTTCTGACCGCCACCCTCAGGCATCTCAATGTCTGTGCAACGCCTCCCTGCGGTGTCTAATACACGTTTTTAAAACCAGACTTCATAATACAGAAAAATGCACACCTCCTAAGAGCCTAGCTCGATGCCATTCCACAAAGTGAATACACTGGGGCATCAGCTCCCGGATCAAGAAAGAGAACATTGCAGCTAAAGGGAGCCCCTCCTGGCCCCTGTGGCCTCACCACGCCAGTGTGGCCATGTCCTGACTCTGTCACCTGAGATATTCTCCCCTGGCTTGGACTGAACATGAATGGAATCATAGGAAACCTGCTCTGGTGTCTGGCTTCTTCAGCTCCGTGTTGTGTTTGTGGGACTCGTCCATGTTCCTGTGTAGCTGTAGTCCATCCTTTTTGTTGCTGTAGAGGGTATTCCTTTGTATGAATATACCACAGTTTATTCATTCTGCTCCTGATTGGCCTTTGTGTTGTTTCCATTTTTAGAATTAGGAATATTCCTGGTAGAGGAGGCTAACGGCTCGGTTTTACTCCTTACTTTGCAAACCACCGGGGACTGAGCTTGACGTGGTGAGCGTGGGGTGACGGTGACACACACATGTGTTAATGGGGCCTGCGATGCCATGGCCTCATGGAGGACCTGCTGTTGGAATCTCAGCACCATAGGTGGCCTTTTTATTAAATAAAAAATGCGTGAATTAATGAAGGAATAAATGAATGAATGAATGAATGCATTTCCAAAAAGAACATTATTGCATGTCACCTTGTGTCAAATACTGTGCTGGCTGTCTTTATAAACGTTACCATATTTAATCCTTGGTGATGAGGTGATTTCCTTGATTTTATAGATTGAAAAAAATGTTTAAGTCTCAGAGCATCCATGTCATTTAACTTCCCTGGGCTCATCTGCGAAATGGCAACAATAGGTCTCAGCAGGTTGTTGAGAGAATAACTGAGTGCTATACATAAAGCAGTCAGCATAGTCCTGGCACAGAAAAGGGCTTAATAAACTCTTGCCCATCATCTTTATGGTTCAAGGTCATGTAGCTTGTAAGTGGCCAACCCAGGGTTTGAACTTATGAACCTTACATCATCTCACTGCATCGTTTCTACCACTGGGGATATGGGAGTGTGAAAAAGAGGTCTTGGCTTATCTTTCCAGCCCTGGCCCTTCCTGCTCCTGAGCTTTGGGATGTGATGGCGGGGCTTGTGCATGAGCCACCTCTGTCCCCTCCCTGCCTGTAATCTGGGCAGTGATTAAGCAGATCAGTTAAGACTCAGCCCTAGACTTCGATGTGGTGCCCTCCCTCCTCCAAACTCCCTTATCCAGAGGATGAGATTAGCATACAATTGTGGTCTCTGCTCACTAATTTCATTTTCTGTGTCTGGAGTAATAGGGCTTCTAGAACTCGCACACTAATTTAAATTCAAATAACAGCCAGCCTAGCATGTGACTTTGGAACTGGGGCTGAGGCTCTGCTCTGAGCAAGGCCTGGCTGCTCCCAGCAGAGGGGATGGTGCAGTGCTTCTGGGAGCAGCCTCCTCCAGCATGGGGTCAGTCGGCTGCTCGGTCAGCTGTGACCAAGTTGAAGCCACAGTGACTCAACCCCGGGCAAGCCTCTCTCCAGCACCTTCATCTCAGGAGAACCAGCTAGTAATTAGAACAATGACCCATAAAGAGCAGTGCCCCTGGGGGCCTGGTGGGGGCGTTAGCTCTTCGGATGGGACAGTCTCTTGGCTTCTTCCATTAATTCGTCATTTACATCATACTCTTGGGTCAAGAGATGTCAGTTTCGAATGGGGACCAAATCTGGCCCCGCCTGTTAGTCACATCTGGTACTAAGAGGTTGTGGGGTGGGGCAGGCGGCATTTTCAAAAGGGACTGTGGCCCCAAATAGGACAGAACCACTTCCTTGGTCAGTGGAGATTTCCTTAGTTCAAGGGTCAGTGGTTGAAGAGCTGTGAACAGTGGGCACCACATGGTCTGCATTATGAAATAATGATCAGGGCTCCCTGGGTGGCTCTTGCTCAGCCCCAAGGGACCCCAGGAGGCCACTGCAACACCTGGGAGACCCCAAGGGGTCAGTACAACATCTCACTCCATTGCCTCCTGCCCGTCATTGGGGATGCACACTGAATTCCTTGTCTCTTCCAAAGCCAGTTCCCTTTGGCTAGCAGTGTTTGCTTCGTGTCTCCGCCTGTTTCTAATGCTCAGGAGACTGAGGCTACCCTCCTCAGGGCTCTTCTCTTATTCAGTTCCACAAACAGCCTAGGCCAGCCTCTGTGCTGGTGATACTGAGATCAGACTCGGGGTCTTTCCATGAGGACCCCACAGACAAGCAGGCTGGGCGGGGTGCTTTCCAAAGTAGGATTTTATCAGTGTAACCAGAAAAAAAAAACAGCTCTAAGAGGAATGAGATTTAGGAATCTCTGGGGTGAAACAGTTCAGGCTTCCTTCTTGCAGGACTGCTCAGAGCCTTTCTTGGCTGCTGAGAGGTGTAGGATGGGGCATTTCCCAAACACACGAGGGCATGACCCTCACTGCAGACATGCCATGTGGCAGCCTGGACCAGGCTGTCTGGCCCTGTGAGGTGGGCAGCAGCATCTCCATCTTATAGATGAGGGACAGAGGTATGAGTAGGTGAGGGACTTGCCCAGGTACACAGTTCAAAAGGGAGACAAATTACAGCCGGGGATCCCTTGCTTGGACTTGTCCCTCTCAAACTGCTGGGCCCTGCAAGGCTGTTGGTTAATGGAATGGTTTGGAGCCACCCTGTCAATGGCATGGGCTCTCTGAGTCCTTCAGGATGCTGTCTCATTAGGCCTTCAGATACAGTGTTTGGGGTTTGGGGGTTACAGATACCAGGTGTGAGCCTGGTCCAGGAATCAGGGAACACAGCATGAGTCTCAGCCCTGCCATTTATCGGCTATGTGAATTGAACCAGTTCCTTCTGGACCTTGGTTCCGCCACGTGGAGATAACAGACCCCCTTTCTGTCCCCAGGAAAAGTACTGGCAACAATTTCCTAGGCCTGTCAACAATTTGATGTATGCGCCATTTAGTGGGGAAAAAATGGTTTTCTTCAGTTGGCTGGAAGCCGTTACTTTTTTCTGGCCAAGATGACTGTGCATCTCAACCCAGCCGTATGGTCAGCATGAGGCCAGCGCGCCTGCAGGGAGACTTGGTTCCGAGTAGGGGCTCTGCTTGGACTTGCTGTGTGAACTTGGGCAGGGCATCTCTCCTCTCTGACCTTGGGTGCTTCATCTTTACAATGGGGGACTAGTTTGCTGTGCTGGAGGGGTCCCCTGCTCCAGGGTTTCATGACTGGGGTTCTGACCGATGGCCGATGGCTGCAGCTGGCCAAGACTGACAAGGGAGGGGGCCTTGGAGCCTCGCCACCCAACAGCATGTCCCAGAGGCAGGTGTGCTCGGCCGGCTGCTCCCAGGATCAGCCGCCAACGGGGCGGGTGAGGGATGGGGTCTTGGCGGGGATGCACCAGTGGGACCTGCTCTCCGGCAAGCAGGGCCCCGGAGTCCAGTGCTCATCAGCTAAGCAGGTAATTATGTGAGCGCTTTGTTCCCCGCACAAAGGAGCTCTCAGAGAACTTCCGAGAGGCTCCGCTTCCTGGCTGATTTGATTTTTCTCAAAACTGGAGTGTGAAAGCCAGGCTGAACCTGCCTAATTGTGCCTGCGAAGGCTATTCAGAGAGACCGTTCTTGGAAGGAAATCAGGACAATTAGCTCTTGGCTGCGGGTAGAGTGGGAAGCGAGCTAATCATGGTGAATGTCAGCTTGTTCCCGGGGGAACCAAAGGGCACAGAATTGAGAGAAGAAATAGGGAAAAAGCGGGGCATCTGCCGGGCCTACCCGTGGGGGATGGGTTCGTCCACCAGGCGGGAGCAGATGCTGGGACAGGCCAGGGAGGGCTTGGGGGTGCTCGCCTCGGGCTGCTGACATTGGCTGTGTGACCTTAGACAAGTCACTGAGCCCCTGGGTGCTCCGTTTCTGAATCTGCAAAACGAGTGCTGCTCAAAATGACCAGATGGAGCCCATCCATCATGGAAACGACAGGTGGGAGCTGCGGGTCCAGAGCAGATGGTGCCGGACGGGCCCGAGGAGAGGGCTTCTGCCTCCAAATGCAAACCCTGGTCCTCTGGCCACTCCTCAGCTGCTGTACCCTCCCTCTGCCCCTCCCAGTTTTCTTCCTGGAACAGAGGAAAATTTATAATTCTAATGTGAGTGCCTCACTGGGCCTCCAAGTCAGAGAGGTGGCCATTCAAATCTCAGCTTTGCCTCTTCTTAGCTCTGTGGCCTTAGGGATGCTCCTTGACCTCTCTGAGCTGTTTCTTAGCTGGATGCGTTACAGTACGCAGTGGCCGGATACCTAGCGGGTGACGAGTGCTCATAGTCTTTGCTGCAGCGTCTGGAAACTATGTGTCCATGCAAGCTCATTTTCCCCGGAATGAAAGCTTGTGTGAATGTGTGAATGTGGGGCCATTTAGACAGAAGTGTTTCTACATAGAATATGTGCTTTTCTACCTTTTTTGAATGGAATCCAGAGTGCATATTCTTTTTTTTTTAATATTCTTTTTTTTTCCTTAAAGAAAAGCAACAGTGTTAGAGCACCAGCCTTGTTGGTTGGGCCCCTGAGTCTGCACCCAGGCTCCATGCCTCACTGGGTGTATCTGACAAATCACAGTGATAACCAGCTTCCTTGTTTCTCAGTCAAGATAATGATCACACATACTTCCTAGGTGAGTTATGGGGATTAAACTCATTAATATACTCAGAAAAGGGACTGGCACTTAGTAAGTGCTCAATGAATTTTAGCATCATCATCATTATTATTTGCTGGCTCAGGGTCACAGTGTAAGGTCCACCTATGCCAGCAGGTGACATGGGAATGAATGCATTCCCACGTGGCTGAAAGAGAGAATGAAGGCTCGGGTTCAGCCAGTGCTCACCCGCATGGCTGGCAGGCCAGCATCTGTACCTACTGGTCTAGGCTGGACCACATCAGTCGTTAACTATTTTGAATCCCACCCCTGGGTAGAAGAGACAGACCCTCAGGGCTACCTCCAAATGCAGGGACTGAGGTGACAGATGTGGGTGCGGCCAGAGAACCAGCCCTAGAGGTGAGGGTCGCTGTGAGGAGCCCAGGACCAGCTGTTCCTGACTCCAGCCCCTCGTTTTGCACACAAGGGAGATAATGTCCTGCCTACGTCAAATAAAGACTTAAAACAAGCTTTGTAAAGAGCAATGTGCCCACAGGCGCTCATGGTTGTATGACTGGGGTCCTCCTGGGTGACCAGGGTGGCGATGGATCTGAAAACATGACATTTGAGGGATAGTTAAGATGTCAGAGAATTCTTCCCCCGAAGAGACCTGGAAAAAATGCAAGTGACTGATTCCATTGGTGTTTGGTTGAGTCAGTGTTTACTGTGGGCCGTGTGCTGTGTGATGTTTTGTGACTCCTTGTGGTTTCTCTTCCCCATTTTGCCAGGCTTGAGTACAGAAGCCCCCCCATCCAACGTCCGCGGT